CTTCGTGGCCTCATCGAGAGTTCCGCCGAAGGCCCATGTGGCCGGACATGCATGCGGCTCCCTCCGCCCAGGACAGCGCTTCGTGGCCCCGTCGGGAGCTCCGACGAGGCCCCAGTGGCTGCACTCGCATGCGGTTCCCTCCGCCCAGGACCGCGTTTCTCGACTCAATCGGAAACTCCATCGAAGGCCAAGTGGCTGCACTCGCATGCGGTCCCCCCATCCAGGACCAAGTTTTTCGGCTCAGTCGGGGATTCCGCCGAAGGCCCTTGTGGCTGTACTCGGATGCGGTCCCCCCCACCCAGGACAGCGTTTCGTGGCCCCGTAGGGAGCTCCACCCAAGGCCCCAATGGCTGCACTCGCATGCGGTTCCTTTGCCCAGGGCCGCGTTTCTCGGCTCGATCGGGAGCTCCACCGAAGGCCGCGGTGGCTGCACTCGCATGCGGTTCCCCCACCCAGGACAGCGCTTCGTGGACCCGTGTGGAGCCCCATCGAAGATGAAATATTCATAATTGCGGAACCCACAGCTGCATGTGGTGAGGGCCATCTCCAGGCAAATTTGCGAGGAATCGTTGCCGCGAGTGCGTGGACCTGATGTACTTCCACGGAGGATCCTTGTTGCGGGAGTGAATATTAGTCGTTCTTCACTGGGGAAGCGGGGCCCGATGCATGCGGCGCTCTGCGGCGAGAGGGGTGGCGGCAGCCCCTGAGAAGACTTGCAGAAAGCGTGCCCGACAGCCCTTGGCATTCTAGCGCGCCCCTAACGAGCACAAGGCCCTGTGGCATGTGCATCCTCCACCGTTTGCCCTCGTTTGGGAAATATGTTTTGGCTCCAGTTGCCTTGGTCTATGCCATCGGGTCCTCGCCGTCTGCTTCTCCTGCCGCCCATCATTCTGCTGCTTTCCTCATGCTCCCAAATCGCATTGCCATCAAACCATTTCGAAAACTTCGATTGGACGCTGCAAACGGTCTCAATTGTCCTCAACTGGACCGCCTTTCTCGTCTCAATTTCTCTTAATCCACGGTTTGAACGGAGAATTATATCTCAATTTCTCTCAAAAGATCTCAAATTCTCTCAATCCGTCTCAATGTTTCTCAATTCGCCTCAAAACGAGAGTTCCATAGTATACGCTAGCGTGTTGGGGCCCCGCTCCCCTCTCAAAATATCTTTTTGGGAATGCCGCGCAGTCCCAAGCCAGTTCAGATTTTCCTGCCTGCTATTCCAATTCATCGGGAATAGGGTTCCAATGGACCTCATCGTGCTCCTCATGCTCCTCCTCACTCCTCACTTTCCACCCCAGCTAGCTTCTCCTCATCCTCCTCCTGCTGCCCCCTGCTGACCGCTCGTGTTACTCCGCCGAAGGCCCCAGCGGCTGCACGCGCACGCAGTTCCCCCACCCAGGACAGCGCTTTGCGTTCCTATCGGATGCCCCACCGAGGGCCCCAGTGACCGCACTCGCATGCGGTCCCCCCACCCCGGACAGCGTTTCGTGGCCCCGTAGGGAGCTCCACCGAAGGCTCCAGTGGCTGCACTTGCTCCTCCGCCCAGGACAGCGGTTCGTGGCCGGGAGCTCCACCGAAAACCTTGGTGGCTGCACTCGCATGCGGTTCCCCTGCCCAGGACCGCGTTTCTCGGCTCAATCGGGAGGTCCACCGAAAGCCCCAATGGCTGCATTTGCGTACGGTTCTCCCACCCAGGACAGCTTTTCGTGGACCCATCGGGAGCTCCATCGAAGACGAGATTCAACATTGCGGAACCCACACCTGCATTTGGTTGGGTCCATTGCCAGGCTAATTTTCCAAGTTTCCGTTGCGAAAAAAATATGATATGCGCCGCCTGCAATCCCGTCACGTCCATTGGGAGGAGAGGGCGCCAGAGGGAGGGTGGCACAAACGCGGATGGAGGAGGAGAAGGGGGGGAGGAGGAGCAGGAGGAGGAGGGGCAGTAGGATGAGTAAGAAATTCCGCATGGGGCCACGAAGCGTTGTCCCTGGTGGGGGACCCGCATGCGAGTGTAGCCACTGGGAGCTTCGGTGGAGCTCCCGATGAGGCCACGAAACGCTGACCTGAGAAGCGGAGCCGCATGCGAGTGCAGCCACTGAGGCCTTCGGTGGAGCTCCCTATGGGGCCGCGTAGCGCTGCCGTGGGTGGGGGGACCGCATGCGAGTGCAGCCAATGGGGCCTTCGGTGGAGACTCCATACAGAGCCACGGAACGCTTGTCTGAGCGGGGGAAGAGCACGCGAGTGCAGCCATTGTGGCTTTCAGCGGAGCTCCAGACGGGGCCACGACACGCGTGGGGGAACCGCACGCGAGTGCAGCCACCAGGGTCTTCGGTGGAGCTCCCGACGGGGCCACGTAGCGCTGTCTTGGGTGGAGGAACCGCATGTGAGTGCAGCCACTGGGGCCCTCGGTGGGGCTCCCTACGGGGCCACGTAGCGCTGTCCTGAGTGGGGGAACCCATGCGAGTGCAGCCATTGGGGCTTTCGATGGGGACCTCTTTGGAGACGCGAAACGCAGTTCTGGATGGGGAACCGCATGCGAATGCAGCCGATGGGGCTTTCGTTGAGCCCCCATGCAGCCCCGAAACGTTCTCCTGGGCGCGGGAGGCGCATGGTGGAGGAGGGAGGAGGGAGGAGGGGGACAAGGAGGAAAGGAGGAAGGAACGCCGGGCACTGTCTGTCTCCTCAGAACGAGGGCCTAACACCACAGGGTGGTTGGGAGAAACGAACGCGCACATTCGCATAGCGAGACCCTATGCCCACTGCGGCCGCGAACGTTCTTCGCGGCGTGATCTTCCCAAAGCAACTGCTCCTCTTTCGCACGCGCACAGTAAGACACCCCTTCAGCACTCTTCTTGAGCGCTCGCTCTGGCAGAGAGTTCACCAGGGCATCGCCCAAATGGCCCATGGCATCTACAATTCCGCGTCCGTCTTCGCCTCACCAACTTCCGCAGTGCGGTTCTTCTTGCTTGCAGGCCCCGCGACGCTCTGGTCTTGCAGGCGAGTCGGTCTTTGGGCGATTTCCCAGAAAGTTCCGATTCGGCCGCTGGCAGCGTCTCAATGGTATGATGTCACCAAGCGTCTGTGCCGCAATGTGTTACAATGGTGCGCTGTTGCGCCAGGATGTTGCTCCGAACTACCCACTCTACGGCTCCGTTGTGCCAGCTTGGTTCTGCGTGGCGCCCCTCCCGATGGGAGATTCCATTGTTGTTACGCATCGTTGCGCAATTAAGTGCGTTTGGTTGTGTTTTGAGCGGCCTATTGCTGTCTCAGCAGCGGTTTGGTTGCCCCCCCCCGCTTCCGCCACCCCCAAGTGGAGCTGCATGAGACGGTGATGATGACGATGACGATGATGACGATGACGGTGATGACGACGATGACGATGCCGGTTACGATGATGATGATGCTGATGATGATGCTGATGATGATGATGATGATTATGCTGGTAATTGTGATGGTGTTGACGATACTGATAGTGATGCTGCTGATGATGCTGATAATGCTGATTATGGTGATGATGATGATGGTGATGATGATGATGCTGAATTTGGTGATGACGATGATGATGGTACTGATGCTGGTGATGATGCTGCTGCTGATCATGATGCTGCTGCTGATGACGATGACGCTGATGATGATGATGATGATGGTGCTGCATATGATGATGACTGTGGTGCTGATGATGATGACGACGATGATGATGATGCTGATGCTGCTGATGACGATGACGATCACGATGCCGATGACGATAACGATGACGATGCCAATGATGCTGCTGCTGCTGATGATGATGATGATGATAGGGAAGATGATGATGATAATGCTGATGATTATGACGATGATGATGACGATGATGATGTTGATGCTGACGATGAATATGCTGATGGTGATGCTGATGACGATGCTGATTATGATGATGATGCTGTTGCATATGCTAATGCTGATGCTGATGCTGAGGATGATGCTGCTGCTGATTGATTGATGGATGGATTGATTGGTTGATTGATGGAATTATTAATTGATGGATTGATTGATTGATAATGATGATGATGAGGATGATGATGATGATGATGATGATGATGATGATGATGATGATGATGATGATGATGATGATGATGATGATGATGATGATGAGTTGGTGGCAAGTTAGTCAGGTCGAGCGATTCAGAGGAGCCCGCCTATTCCCACCATCCCTCCCTCAACATCGTATTCAAGTGTGGCAAAACTTGACCTTGAGATCCGAACGCGCTCCCACCTCTGAAGCGGCAGATGCCCGCGCGCGGCCCCGCGCCCGACGACCTGGCGAAGGCAGAGCTACGCGTGCCGTGCAGGGGCGGGAGCGGCACAGCTTCCGACGAGCAGCGCTGCTGCTCTCCCTCGCACGCTGCGCGGCGCGGCGCTCGAGCGGGGTCGGCGTCTCGCCCGCCCTCGCGCTGCCCCGCCGCCGCGGTCGCCTGCACGGGCTGCGGCGCACGAGCGGGCCCGCGCTGGGCCCGCGCGGGCGACCCCTGCCGGGCGAGGGGCGCACGGAACCTGGGCGAGGGAGTCGAGGCGCCCAGTCGCGCGGGCACCCCACCGCGGGCGAGGGAGCAACTCGCGCCGCGTCGGGGCGGGAGCGCCGCTTTCGGGTGAAGGCTGCCTCCTCCTCCTCCTCCTTCTCCTCCTCCTCCTCCTCCTCCTTTTCTTCCTCCTCCTCCTCCTCCTCCGCCACTTGCGGGTGAAACCTGCGCGGGGCCGAGGCGAGAGCTGCGATTTCGGCCGCGCGCGCGTCGGCCAAGGGTGCGCTCGGAGAAGGTGCGCCACGCCCCGGGCGGGAGCTCACTTCTCTAGGACAGTGAGCGCGGCGCCGAGGCGAGGGAGACATTTCGGCCTTTCGCGCGGGATGTGCGCACTGTCCCACTTCCTGCCTCGCAGGAGCCGCGTCAGCAGCAAGAGGAGCAGGTGGACGAGGATCGGGCGATCGAGCGCCGGGCCACACGCTCCCTGCCCCCCTGGCCTCGCAGGCTTTCAAGGAGGACTGGGCCGACGTGGTGCGCAGCCATGCAGTGCGAGGCATGGAGAGGCGCCCCTCCTTGTCCGGAGTGTGTGTTTGTTTGTGTGTGTGTGTGTGTGTTTGCGTACGTGCGTGCGTGTGTGTGCGTGTGTGTGCGTGTGTTTGTATGTATGTGTGTGTGTGTGTGCGTGTGTGTGTGTGTGTGTGTGTGTGTGGCCACTTTCGCTGCAACGGTGCCCCCGTTTTGCTAGCTCTTCCGCCAGCGCAGGCACTCTCCCTAGCCGCCGACGTAAAAACAAATGTGTGTGTGTGTGGCCGCATGCCCGCTCGTCGTTTCCCACTTGGCCTGCTGGTTGGCCCGGGTTCCTGCGCTGTCTTCGTTCTTCTTCTGGGTTGGCTGTCGTTGCCGCCTCCACGCTGCGCCTCGCCTGCTGCTTCGGGTTGCACTGTCGCGCTGCCTCGTCTTCCGCGTGTTTCCTCTTTGTCCTCCTTCCCCCGTCTGTCCCCTCACGGCTGCCCCCCCCCCCCCGTGAGTTTCGCTGTCGACCCTTTAAGATGGGTGGATCCAGCCTCACCTCGCTGCGTGAGCCGGGCCAACGCGCGCTCGCTTATCCTGTCTTCCGCCGCGCCGCCGTGCGCGTGGCCGCGACGCAAAAGTGTATGTATGTCTGTCTGTCTGTCTGTCTGTCTGTCTGTCTGTCTGTCTGTCTGTCTGTCTGTCTGTCTGTCTGTATGTATGTATGTATGTATGTATGTATGTATGTATGTATGTATGTATGTTATGTATGTATGTATGTATGTATGTATGTATATATATATATGTGTGTGTGTGGCGTGTGTGCGTGCGTGCGTGCGTGCGTGCGTGCGTGCGTGTGTGCGTGCGTGCGTGCGTGCGTGCGTGCGAGTGTGATGATGCTTCTTTTCAAAGTGTGGATTCACCGCTTGTAGCTTGTTGTTGCGCGCGCGATTTGCCCTGCGTTCGAGTCCGCTGCACAGAGGGCTGAGACACTGCTCGCTCCGATTGGGGGATAACGTGTTAGTGTCAGACATATTTCTCCAGTCGTGGAAGTACAGGTCCGAGCCTTTGCTTCTTTCGGGCGCAGTGGACTTAAGCTTTCGACTCGCTACGCTATGCGGGTTAGGTAAGTGTGCTTGTCTTGGAAAGAGTATTTTTGTGCATTGGGGGCGTTGCGTATTGCAGCGCAGGGTAGAACACTCCAGCGTTTTGTACAAACGATTGCCACGTGTTGATGTGCACTGTACTGTTTTTGTTCTGCGAAGCTGTACGTTGTAGTGTACAACCCCGCGCCGTATTGTAACGGTGTGATGAAATAGCTGGTGTACTTCAAGTTTGTGATGTGTTATGTCATTTGTCAATGGGGTGTCTGTCTGTGTACGCATATATGGCGCTTCCACACCTGGGGGTATGTATCTTGCCACTCACAGTGTTCGATCTTACCACTGGTTAGACATCATCAGCGCGTCGGAGGGAAGCGTGTGTGCATGAGTAAATGCACATGCACACACTCACAATGACGCATACGTGTAAGTGTGTGTTTGTGAGCGCGTGTGCGTGTGCGTGTGCGTGCGTTCGTGCGGCTCGGCTGGTCTGGTGCTTGACTGTCGCTTGACCTTTTGTATTCTGCTGCTGCGCTAGTCGCCACGCGTGCAAATGTAGTCTGCGCCCACGTGTCCCGTTCGCGTCTAACCGATTGTTGCTAGAATATCGCGTAGGAGGAAACACGCGTGTCCTGGCGCACATGGGAGTATGGACGTTGTGTGTCGCTGCGTCGGAGCTGTCGCCTTTTTGAGGGGCGGGGCTGGCTTTCGGTGTTTCGTATTGGCCTTGCTCGATTATGCAGTACGAGAGACCCACGAGTACGTTGGTTTCGCCATTTCAGCATGCGGGTGACCTCAGAGGTGGATTACACGGTGTACCCACCGCAGTGGTAAGACCATTGGCCCACCATACCTCGTGTGCACTGTACCGCGTTGGCGTCTCCCGAGGCGTCGTCGATCCTCGGTCCAGGAATTGTGCGGTGCATAGTTTTTGTTCGGCTCTCAGAGCCGAGCTCCAATGCACAAAATCGCTTTGGAGCGGGGCTTGGAGCCGAACAGCTATGCACCGTACCACCGTACCCCCCCTTTTTACTACAGGCCCCAAGTTACTCTGCTTGAGGCTTTCCTTCAGGCGAGGTCATCGTGAAGGCCTTCGTCGTAGTCAACACACAAATTGAAGGGATTTCGAATCTGATGCTATGCACGGGCCTCTTTGTCGTATTCTGAGCAGAGTTGATCTGTGCATGGCGGGAGGGACTTTGCTCCTGGTTCTATGATCCTGGGTCCGTGTCGTGGCGCGTGGTGGCAGTCGGCTGTCTGCCAAGGTCCGTGCCACGGTCGGCGGCCAGTGCGCCTCAGGAGATTGCGCGCCCGTCGGCCTTTTTGTTTGGTTTTCGCTGTTCCGCGCGAGGTGTGAGGAGATGGACAGGCTCTGCAGGTACGCCGTGATGCCCAGTCGCACCGCGTCGTGCGTCAGGGCTGGACCTAAACGGTGTTTTGGCGATTTCGTGGGCCGTTTTCGGTTCGACCTCGTTTTGCGGTAAAGGCGGATCGAAGGCAAAACGAGGGAAACCGAAAACAAAACTCAAACGAAAAACACCGTTCAGGTTCAGTCCTGTCGTGCGTTCGTGTTCCTGCTGCGACTCTTGCGTTGTCGGTGTTCGGCGCTGTCGACCTTGTCGTAGCTGCGTGGCGCGGTGCCTGGTGGGATTGCTCCATGCAGGTCGGTGGTGTCGGCTGCACCGTGGCGGAGATGTCCGGTGATGCGGTGAGGGGTTGGGCCGAGCCGCGCTTTCCGCCGCCACGAGAAAGTTTGAGCTGCGGCCGCTTCCCTTCCCCTTCGCGCTCCGCCCTCCCTGCCCCCTCCTTCGCTCCTCCCCTCGTCCCCCCCTCCTGGCCGCCACTTCCCATCCCGTCCCCGCGCGTGCCCCCGCCCCTCCAGCGCTCAGGGCTTTTGCTCTGTCCGGTCGGATCTGAAAGTGCCTCAGATTTCCCCTTAGAGGCCTCGCCCACATGCTCGGGTGTATGTTGGCTGCGCCACGGCTGATGTTGAAACCTCTTCCTTCTGAAAGCCTCCAAGGACGCTGCGAACAAGTCAGAGAGCCGCTCACAGGCCGCAGGAACCTTCCGCCCCCCCGCGCGAACACCGTTGGAAACGCCGATGGACCTCCCAAAACGGAAAACGACAGCTCGTCCTTCTTCTTGTCCCTCCTCCTAGGTCCTACCTTCTCCTCCTCCTCCTCCTTCTCCTCGTCCGCCGCGCTGCGGGAGGCCCTCGTGCGCCGCGGACCCGTCCTCGTCCCCCACTTGCCTCATTTTCTCCGCCCTCTCCTGCCCCCTCCTCATCCTCGTTTTCCTCCTCCTCCTCCACCGCCTCCTCCTCCTTCTCCTCCTCCTCCTCCTCTTCCTCTTCCTCCTCTTCCTCCTCCTCCTCCTCCTTTCTCCTTCTCTGTCCTCCCTTCACGTCCTCCGCCTCCTCCTCTCCGTCCTCCTCCTCCCCCGCCTCCGCTCCCTCCTCCTCCTTCCACCCTCTCGGCCCCCTCGGCCTTGGAGGCCCTCTCTGCTTCGCCGCGCGGGCCAGGCGCCTGGACTCCCTCGCGTACGAGCGGCAGAAGAGCGGCCCCGCCACGGGGGAGGGATGGGCCCTCGTCCCTCGTCGTCATCGTCGTCATCGTCGTCGTCATCCTCCTCGCACGCTCGCTCGTGGCTGCTGATTCATTTTGTTGGTGCAGCCAGTGGCCCCCTCCTGCGGTTGCCGTAAGGCACCGCAGGAGGGGACCAATTCGGAAAATGGGCCGGTCTGTGGTGGTGGGGCCGGCGAGGTACGAGGGGGGAGAAACGGACGGGGGCCCGAAAGAGGAGGTCGAAGGCGGACACGGATGGCGAAGCGAACGAAGGAGGGGACGTCGTCGTCGTCGTCGTCGTCCTCCTCCTCCTCCTCCTCCTCATCATCCTCCTCCTCCTCCTCCTCTCCTTCCGCTCCCATCCTCCCTCCCCTGTGCAGTTGTTGAGTTCGAGTGCACACCTCATACACAAAGTATTGCATGTGTTGTTGTTGCTCATTGGATCCCAGACGATGCTTTGGCATATGTGCTTTCTTCCATATCTAAACGTTTTTCATTTATCCAAATGCAGCTCCCGCTGCAGCGTTGTCATCATTTCAGGATCGGCGATCTGCTCCTGTCGTTCAGAAAAGGCACTCTCGTCTCAGGGCGGGCCGCATTTCTGGATCCGAGTCCTTCCTCGTCGTTGTCGCCCACTCCTGTCCCCTCCTTCGCCTTCCCTTGGTCCTCCTGCTCCTTCCACTCCTACTGCTGCTGCTGTTCCTCCTCCCCCTCTTTCCTCATCCTCGTCCATCTGCTCCTCTTCCTCCTGATAATCCTCCTGCTCATCCTCCGCCTCCTCCTCCTCCTGCTTCTCCTCCGCCTCCTCCCCATTCCCCTCCCAATGTGCACCGCTATCCTTATCTGATAGAGCATGACACGGTGGTCGTTTTTCCCAACCATCCTGCGGTGTTGGGTCCTCGTTTTGAAGAGACGTCGCCGCGCGTTCCTCCTCCCCTCCTCCTCCTCCTCCCCTCCTCCTCCTCCTCCTCCTCCTCCTCCTCCTCCTCCTCCTCCTCCTCCTCCTCCCCTCCCTCCTCCTTCTTCCATGCGTTCCACCCACCCAGTACAGCGTTTCATGGCCCCATAGGGAGCTCCACCGAAGCCCCCAGTGGGACCGCCCGCATGCGTCCCCCATACCTAATTTGGCATTTTCGCCCGCCCAGTGCAACGCTTCGTGACCCCATATGGAGCTCCACCGAAGTCCCCAGTTGTACCGCCCACATGCGTCCCCCCCCACACCCAATTTGGCATTTTCACCCACCCAGTACAGCGCTTCGTGGCCCCATACGGAGCTCCACCGAACCCCCCAGTTGTACCGCCCACATGCGTCCCCCACGCCCAACTTGGCATTTTCACACACCCAGTACAGCGTTTCGTGGCCCCATAGGGAGCTCCACCGAAGCCCCCAGTGGGACCGCCCGCATGCGTCCCCCACGCCCAATTTGGCATTTTCACCCACCAGTGCAACGCTTCGTGACCCCATATGGAGCTCCACCGAAGCCGCCAGTTGTACCGCCCACATGCGTCCCCCACATCCAATTTGGCATTTTCACACACCCAGTACAGCGTTTCGTGGCCCAACAGGGGGCCCCACCGAAGCCCCCAGTGGGACCGCCCGCTTGCGCCCCCCAGCACCCAACTTGGCATTGTCACCCACCCAGTACAGCGCTTCGTGGCCCATAGGGAGCTCCACCGAAGCCCCCAGTGGGACCGCCCGCATGCGTCCCCCACGCATAATTTGGCATTTTCACCCGCCCAGTACAGCGCTTCGTGGCCCCATAGGGAGCTCCACCGAAGCCCCCAGTGGGACCGCCCGCATGCGTCCCCCACAGGGAACTCCACCGAAGCCTCCACCCGCATGCGTCCCCCACATCCAATTTGGCATTTTCATGCACCCAGTACAGCGTTTCGTGGCCCAACAGGGAGCCCCACCGAAGCCCCCAGTGGGACCGCCCGCATGCGTCCCCCACACCCAATTTGGCATTTTCGCCCACCCTTTACAACGCTTCGCGTCCCCATGGGGAGCTCCACCGAAGCCCCCAATGGGACCGCCCGCATGCGTCCCCCACGCCTAATTTGGTATGTTCACCCACCCATTGCAGCGTTTCGTTGCCTCATAGGGAGCTTCACCGACGCCCCAGCAGCGTTGGCCTCATTTCAGGATCGGCGCTTTGCTCCGTCGTTCAGAAAAGGCGCTCTCGTTTCAGCGCGCTGGATCCGAGTCCTTCCTCGTCGTTGCCGCCCACTCCTATCCCATCCTTCGCCTTCCCCTGGTACTCCTGCGTCTCCTGCTTGTCCCACTCCTGCTCCTCCTCCTTCTCCTCCTTCCTCCTTCTCCTCTTCTCCTTCTTCTTCTTCTTCTTCTTCGTCTTCTTCGTCTTCTTCTAGTTCTTCTTCTTCCTCCTCCAATGCGTAACGATCCCATCTGCGATTGTGCGTAGCACCATGGGTCCCATGAGTGGGTCCAGGTCCAGTGCGACGCCCGTCGGCTGACAGAGACAAATCAGCGCAATGGGAAGGGATGGGTGGGCGGGACTGGATGTCAGATATGGCGCCAGCGCGCCCAGTTTGCCTCTCTCCTCACTCCTCTCTCCCCCTCCACACCTTCTCCTCCTTCGCCTCGCCTTCCTCTCTTTCTCTCTCCTCCCTTATCCTCCTCCTCCTTCTCCTTCTCCTCCTCTTGTTGCCAACCATCCTGTGGTGTTGGGTCCCCGTTTTGAAGAGACAGCGCCCCGCGTTCTCACTCCTCCTCCTCCTCCTCTTCCTCCTCCTCCTCCTCCTCCTCCCTTCTCCCTCCTCCTCCTCCTCCCCCTCCCCCTCCTCCTTCCTCCCTGCGATTCGCCCACCCAGTACAGCGTTTCGTGGCCCCATCGGGAGCTCTACCGATGGCCCCAGTGCCACCGCCCGCAAGCGTCACCCACACCCAATTTAGCACACCCCTCACACGTTTCGTGGCCCCATACGGAGCTCCACCCAAGGCCCCGGTGCCACCGCCCGCATGCGTCACCCACACCCATTTCGGCACACCCTTCACTCGTTTCGTGGCCCCATAGGGAGTTCCACCAGTGGCCCCAGTGCCACCGCCCACATGCGTCACCCACACCAATTTCGGCACACCCCTCTTACGTTTCGTGTCCCCATAAGGAGCTCCACCAAAGGCCCCAGTGCCACCGCCCGCATGCTTCACCCACACACATTCTGGCACACCCCTCACACGTTTCGTGGCCCCATAGGGAGCTCCACCGGCGGCCCCAGTGCCACCGCCCGCATGCGTCACCCACATCAATTTCTGCACACCCCTCACACGTTTCGTGGCCCCATAGGCCCATAGGGAGCTCGACCGGAGGCCCCAGTGCCACCGCCCGCATGCGTCACCCACACCAATTTCGGCACACCCCTCACACGTTTCGTGGCCCCATAGGGAGCTCCACCGAAGGCCTCAGTGCCACCGCCCGCATGCGTCACCCACACCTATGTGATCGCACCCCTCACACGATTCGTGGCCCCATAGGGAGTTCCAACGAAGGCCACAGTGCCACTGCCCGCATGCTTCACCTACGCACACTGCGGCACACTCCTCACGCGTTTCGTGGCCCCATAGGGAGCTCCACCGAAGGCCCCAGTGCCACCGCCTGCATGCGTCACCCACACCCATGTCGTCACCCCTCACGCGCTTCGTGGCCCCATAGGGAGCTCCAACGAACGCCCGGGTGCCACCGCCCGCATGCGTCACCCACGCACATTTCGGCACACCCCTCACGCGTTTCGTGGCCCCATAGGGAGCTCCACCGAAGGCGACAGTGGCTGTGATCGCATGCGCCTACCGCATTTCGACACACCCATCATACGTTTCGCGGTCCCACAAGGAGCCCTACGGCCCGAGTGGCTGCGTTCGCACTCTTCCTCCTTCTTCTTCTTCTTCCCGCAGCCCTTGGGGACCAATGTCTGAGGTGTCCACACATGCATACGTCAGCGGTGAGATAGGCGGCAAGTATAGCGGAGGACGAGGAGAGCAGCAATGGCCAGCATCAACCCGACTCGCAATACAAATCGAGCGGGGCATATAGATGGGCAACTGACGCCTCCAGCCATGCATCCCCAGGAGGCGTGGGGGCACAGCGTTGTGAGGCTGCCTGCGTGATAACAGCAGCTGCGTAGAATTCCACCTGGCTGCTGTCAGGAGGGGCCAGGATCGGCATGGCATTCATGCACAGGCACTGACGGTCCCCCATGGGCACACATCTCGACGTGACGGTCGGAGACGTATCTTGCAGGGCGCACAGGAACCTGACCTCGGGGACCTTCCACATGCAGGGCAGGTTGGCTTGCGGAGCAGGTGGGTTTAAAATGAGCAAGGCCGCCAGGCCCGAGGACGCCGCACACAGCGCAAGCGTCAGTGCCGCCCTCAAGCACGCATTGTCGAGCTCCAGCTGCTTCCACTCCGAGGGCGACCTGGCAGAAATTCCCCATGGCTCATCGCAGCTCCTTAAAGGCCTGCACTCACCGCCCTTGACTTTGCAGCGAGGGGTGGGGTCCCACGAGGAAAGGAGGAAATCCGCCACGAGACCAATGACACGCCCAGCAAGAATAAGATCAGTCATGAACAATAGCTCCTTATGGAATCCCTCAGTGGAGTCTTGGAAAAGCTAGAGAATATTAAGAGACAAAACAAAAACATTCATGCCCGCTATGGCACTGGACTTCTCCGCTCTGTCCTGGATGTCACCTTGACTCCTGGGAGCTGCACGGAGGATCACAATGTACTTAGTGCCAGGGGCCACAGGCATGTGGACCTCTGCTTGCGTGGGCATCTCTTCCTGGATGCACACTGGTTGGCGCGAAATTCTCGGCATGCAAGTGGGAAGGCCCTTGGAGGCAGCCGCTCCCCTCAGCCTAGGTCCCGTCGTGAGGACAGGCGGGAGCTGCGCAGACTCCGCGTAGTGGCCTTTCTCTCGGAGCGTGCGTGCTAGCTCCGCGTCCTCCGCCTTAGCCGCCATCACCTGTTCGGGGCTC